TATTTCTGTACAACCTACATTTTATTTTTTTTCCCTCTGTGACACTTTTCCTACTGTTTTAAATGTTAAACAAATTGTATCCTGACAAGACGAACAAAAATAAGAAATAAAATTTTTGTACAACATTTTTATTTTCTCTGTGACACTTTTTTTCCCTACTGTGTTGGTAGCAGTTGCTGTCAATAACTTCAAGACTCTTGACAAGACAAATTATATACAATTTTGTGCAGACTACACTTTTAATTGTTAGCCCATCTCTCTTTCTTTCAGCGGGAGCGGGACTAAAAAAACAGTCCCGCGCAGACCTCTACCCTAGATCTAGGCAGAGGCACGGGCACCCCGCCCCTTTGCAGGAAACGGAGCCTGGTCCGCAACTCCGCGACGGTCATTTTCCCACAATGAGAGCATGACTCGTGCACAAAGGCCACCCCAGCATGCTTAACCCCCAGGCACGTGAGGTAACGATCGTGACCATCACCCGGCGCCAGGTAACGACCGCATCCAGAAACGCACGGATGAAAAGGCATCTTTAAAAAGACATTTACCCGTGAATGCTCTTTTAGGGTGCTTTCACACTAGCACTTCTGGTGCGCACCCGGGTTCGATTGACGTCAGAGTTCGGTTCGTTTGGATGATGTGAACGCTGTCTTCCGAACTCGGGTGCGCACCCGCGAACCGTACCCGAGTCCGCTTAAAAAGGGTGGTCTGGGGTATGGTTCAAGTGAACTCCGGTACGGTTCGCTGCTGATGTGAATGCAATCGTACCAAATTGCGGAAGTGAACCGCTATTAATTACGTATTTTGATAAAAATGTGTGTTTGTGTGTGTGTTTCACTCATTTTCCTGACGAGCGTGACTGACGAGCTGCAAACAGAGAGCTGTATATCTCATTTCTGTTCGCCTTCAGCGCTCTTTAGAGCATTTGCAGTACATTTGTAAGACAGACGTAATTCGTCGTTAGGTATCAATGTGTGCTCGGCAAGACCGTTTTGTGCTTGAGCGCCACCAAGTCCTGTTTTACTGTAATTTCAGCAGCTCCAGGCACGTGAACAAAAGCGCCAATCTCATTGGTCGGCCAGTTTTTAAAGCGGCGCGTCAAACCAAAAAAACGAACGCGATATTCGTCCCGGTGTGAACAAGCCTTTAGAGTTTGCTCTTTTAATGTGCTGAAGCGCTCAGGGGTAGATGACCGCCTGCAACACAAACAGGTGATAGTGCAGCCTGATGTGTGCAACCCACTCGACACGGGAAAAAAACACTGCCGCTGAAGCGCCGTTCTGCCAACACGAGAGCTTCTAAAGAGCGCGCTGAACTCGTTGAGTTTTTTCAGAAGCAGATATCAGGAGCAGAACGATATGTCCGCTTGGCTCCAAAGCAAAAAGCTGGTATGCGTTGCACCGGCTGCCTTTTTATGCTCATGCGGTGATCAGCGGCAGCTGGATGCAATCATCGCATGCCAATGTGCTTTGGCTCGTTTAGTTTACACTCGAAGTAGATTGGTCTCTCTAAGCGAGATCCCAATTCGTCGGTCACTGACATGACGTCGAGAGTGACCGACTGAAAGGGAACATATATGTAGCCTAATATTTAACCACAAACAAAATCAATTAATTTGTTCATGGTTAATATGTCTAGGACACAAATTAAATCCAAAACAACGAGAAATTAACAGATAAAGCAATCTTTGCAAAGAAATCAGGTCCTTGAAATTCAAGCAGTTTATCACACGTTGTAAGATCTTTGAACCAGAGTTGAGATTACAGATAAAGCTTTTCCCAGTGCTGTACGATCTGTAGATCAGAGACATGCTGACTCAGCCCATTCACAGAGAGCTTGAAACAGAGCTTCAGCGATGATCACAGCGTTTGACTGAAATTATCTATGTGTGGATCCACAAAACCACTTTAGATTGCCAACATATGCCGGAGATACCAGTCCCTGAAGCATAACCTCAGATTTGCATCATCAGCCTCCTCTGTACGCCTGCCAAGTCACTACGCTGTTGACTTTGGCTACAACAACAGGCCCATTTAATAAGACGACAAACAATAGAACTATTCAAATGGCCCATCTTAACACCAGCAACAGAGTAGATCACAGGCTATATTTCCAATAGACCTTATTTCTAGACCTGAAATGGTGCACTGAACACAGTTCTGAATTATATTGGCTTATAATATATATTTGCATTTCAAATGATATGCCTTGTGTTAAATACAACCCTTCAATTTGCGAGTCTTGTTTAAAAGCAGGGATATCTGTCATAGAATAGTTCCACTCTGCATGCAGAAAAACCCCTCAGTGCTGTGCTGCATTCCTAACAGATGCTCACAAACCTGGCAGTTGAAACAGATTTGACACGTTTGTTTTGATGTGTGTGACTGCTGTGTTCTTGAAGCAGATTTTGCATGCACAAAGAAAGCATGAGATTGAGATGATGAACATGTCTTCTAAACAAAGCAGGGGGTTAAAAAAAGAACACACCTGACTATACAAGCGTTAGGAATGTTAGTGAGAGTGATGATTGACAGCAGTTTCTGTTCTGTAATTTGAGGGGAAAATCGGTGGAAAAGATTAAATATGGTAAAATGTGTTAAATGAAGCTGAGAGTATTGCTCGTAAGGGATGGGAACTTGATGGCCGTTTGAATTCTAAGGATGCAGATATATAATTTAATTTATAAAGGCCCATTTATACTATGAAAACGGTTATATACTGTATAAAAGTATGATATGACGACATTGGGTCTGTACATCCACGTATATCTGCGTTGTTATTCAGAGAGACCTTTGTACTCTTTCGCTGTATATGATATGATGAAACATTGAAGATGAAATATAAATTTAATCTGAATGTATTTATAAGCAGTGTTGCACGGCAAAAGTTACTTTTCAAAGTAATGCATTACAATATTGCGTTACTCCATAAAAAGTAAATGCATTATTTATGCGTTACTTAGTTACTTTTTATGGAAAGTAATGCATTGTAACTTTTGCGTTAACCTTTGTCACCTGAGCTGGGCTTGCTTATTAATTTTTAATAACAAAAAACCCAAAGTTATATTTTTGGCAACTGTAAAAGCCTTTTCACACCAAAAGTGAAATGAATAAGCCTCAGGCTGAAGGAAGTGCCTCTGAAACTCACTCTCAGTTTCTCTCAACACAAGAACAGGAGAGGTGTTAGTGAATGAATAGGAAAACAAAGTAACTTGCATTACTTATCTGAAAAAGTACCTTTAAAAGTAATGCGTTACTTTACTAGTTACTTGAAAAAAAAAGAAATCTTGCATTATTTATAATGCGTTACCCCCAACACTGTTTATAAGGCCACCCAGAGTATGTGCTGTTTGTTAGCGCAGTGATCCCAGTTTGTTGGGTTCTCCACACCAAGCATTGTAAAAATCAACATTATACTTAGTTTGAGATTATGTTCTGAGATCATCTTACACACACGCTAGACATTTAATCAATATTTTCCAAATCTCTTTATAGGTTCTCAAAGATTAAATCATACATGTAGGAATTTTGGACACAAAATTTGATTTGGACTAAATGTGATACTCTGTTTTGCAGAGGTGGGGGACTCGAGTCACATGACTTGACTCGAGTCGCAAATTTAAGGACTTGTGACTTGCTTGACTAAATAAAGAAAATGACTTGACTTGACTTGGACTTGAGATCCAGTGACTTGAGACTTGACTTGATTTGACCTTCATGACTCGGCAGGACTTGACATTATAACAACTCTAATTATTATTATAAATCATTGCGACATAATTTGGTAAACAAAACGCAAGCCACTGAACCAGTGGCAGAAGTGATTCGAGTCTGCGCAGTTTATAACACTGCACGAGCACAGTCAGGAACACAGCAAAAAATATTTGTTCCTGTTTGATACTGTGACTTGACTTGACTTCATCCTTAGCAGGACTCGACTTGACTTGCTTGAGGTGAGCCACTGACTTGACTTGACTTGCTTGATTTGTTTGTACTGTGACTTGAGACTTGCTTGAGACTTGAACATGTGTGACTTGCCCCCACCTCTGCTGTTTTGTCTAAATATTCATGTTTTTATTAAGAGGTTATAAACCTATTTTCTTCAAATGGCCATATCAGTATATCTTGTTTTCGATCATCTGAGGTGCATGTGTTTGTACTTAAATGTTTTAAGTTTGTCCTGTTTCTGTTTCGTGTTGCCTGTGAACAGCGATGATGTCACTTTGAGAAAATACAGCAGAAACAATCAAATGACCCAAGTCTCCTCAAGCCTTTCAGACGCTCCTGAGCAGTGACATCAAAGGCAGCAGACAGAGAAACAAGGCCATTTCACACACAAAGAAAGTCTGTCACTGGAAAAACACCTACTGTAATATAATGAAATATTTGTGATGTTTATGTTGCTTGCACAAATGTTGAGAATACACAGTTCATTTAAGTGGTCTGTCAATGGTGAGGCTAGCAGGACTATGCTAACTAGCCAAACCTTGAGGAAGCGAATGGCTATAGACTGTGACACGTTTCCACAGTTCTTAACATTTATAGCACCACAAGATAGAACCACAAAAATGCGATAAGGGTCCATTGATGATGTTTAATTTGCCTTGTATAGTGTACCACATTTCTCTCTGCTGCCTGTATCTGTGTTGTACAGAAAGCTCTGTTCAGAAGCTTATTTCTGGATATGGTGCAGGGAACTCTTGCCTGACTCTTAAAGGAAGCTGAGGATGTTCATGCATCACTGGTGCTGAGAATGACTCAGTGATGGTGCAAAAAAGATAAAGGCTCTAGCACTGTGATAAACTAAAATTAGTTTAGTTTGGAAGAAAAAAAATGAAGAATTTGGAGGAGAAATGGATTTGATAGAAATGATTGGTCGTTTAAATAACACAAATCCTCTCCAAAGCAGTGACATTGGTTTCAATGTGGTTTGATTTTGTTTCTCATGATTCCTTTCGCATTTTTAATGTTACATGTGTATTGATGGGAAAAAAAAGTGCTCACCGTCAGGTTTTGGAAAAGCTGTTTGACTGCTTGAACCTCTGTGTCGCTGCTGGGGATTATTCTCAACACTTGATCACTGCAGAAATAAAGCATTGCAGTTTTTGTAAATTATACACTGGCACAGGAATCAAATCAAAATACAGAGATCAAGTTTTGACTACATTTTTTTTTGTATGTTTACACACTATGGCTCAGTATTTTTTAAAGAAATTAATACATTTATTCAGCAAGGATAAATTAAATTGATCAAAATTGACAGTAAAATCATTTATAATGTTTTTTTTTCTATTTCAAAAATAAATGCTGTTCTTTTGAAATTTTTATTTATCAAAAAATCCTTAAAAAAGGGTTTCCACAAAAAATTAAGCAGCACAGCTGTTTTCAACATTAATAATAAGAAGAAATGTTTCTTGAGCAGCAAATCAGCATATTAAAATGATTTCTGAAGAATCATGTGACAATGAAGACTGGAGTAATGCCTGCTAAAAGCTTTGCCATCACATAAATAAATGACATTTTAAAATATATTAAAATAGAAAACTGTTATATTTATAATATTTCACAATATTTCTGTATTTTTGTCCAAATAATGCAGCCTTGGTGAGCATAAAAGGCTTCTTTCAAAAGCATAAACAATCTTACAGAACCCAAACTTTTGAACAATAGTGTAAATAATAACCAAAATACACAGTGATTTTCAAATACTGATTACATATATTCAGATTTTCGGGTATCTACAGTATGAACAACCACACTGCAGAAACTATACTTAAGATGGATATATTATATATGGAAAATCTTGTATATTGAAGAAAATTAGCAGTCATTGTGTGTCTATGAGATTTTTTGCATGTTATATTGTTAACCAAGCAAAGTCTGTTCACACACCTCTTCTCAACAAGCTGCATGATTTGAGGTTCAATTCATGTGTGCAGCACAAACATGTCAAGCAGAGGTTTAATACTAGGATTCAAGCAATCCTTTAACACTAAGTATGAACATTAGTACCAGTGATTAATGCTAATATTTCCAAGAGCGGCGGAGCCAGCAGACAGTTTTATTGAGCTAGCTGACACATAAAGGCTTCTCTGAGGGTTGTTTTCTCTGAAACGGTTCAAAACACACCAAAGATGACCTCATAACATCACTAAAAGCAATCTGTTATTTTTAGGCTTTGAGTGATGCTGACGCTCCAGGTTACATTCTCCTTTTGTTGTGGTGTAATTGTGCGAGCAGCTCCATGCCAGCTCTATCATTACACAAGGAAGCCACAAAACTGGTCTCAGTTCATCATTAAGGACGTCATCTCACACTAATGGCATAAGCAGAGGAAATCGTGCTTGACGCCACACCTGTAACATCTTTGTGTGCGGTATTTTATGTCTTGGATGGTATTTCCCACAGAATCTTTATTGTGTGGTGTCATGCAATATCTGCTTGTGCTTTAAATAAATAATAAACTCCTCCTCAGCTGCAGGGTGCAAGGCTGATTCATGCTCTCATTCGTTTTGCTCACTATATAGTGGACTTCTTGTGGCCCTTTTTGTCTGTTATCGAGTTTCTTCTTGGTTATTCCTATTTCCTGACTTCAGCCCTGATATGATATTGTACTGGACTGGAGAAACATCCAGGATCTTCGCTGTCTGATGTCAGCTGGCGATTCAGTCACACACAAGAGCAAAGTCTGGCGTTTAGGTTAGTGTGTGAATGTGTGAAGAATGAGATTATGCCTCTTTGGCTGATAGGGCAAATGTACTGGGCTTCTTCACACCCTCACATACGTGAAGAGGTGTTGATTGGTGTGTTTTATAGCCCCATGTAAAACATCTATCTGATGGAATGCAGAAAAACAATGACTGACCCTATACAGGACAGGAATTTATAGCACCTTACCCTTTAAGAATGCTAACTGATGGCAAAAAACGCTTGCTTGCTTATTTATTTATTTATAATCATTAAAATGTTTCCATTTTGATTAAAAAATAGTTTTAATTTAAGGACACATTAAATTGATCAAAAGTGACAGTAAAGACTTACATTATTACAATATATATATATATATATATATACTCTAAAAAAATGCTGGGTTAAATATAACTAACCCAACAACCCAACTACTGGGTCAAAACAACCCAATAGCTGGGTTTGTCCCTTTTTAACCCAGCGCTGGGTTATATTTAACCCAGCATTTTTTAGAGTGTATATATATATATATATAATAAATGCTGTTCTTTGAATGTTTGAATTGGTCAAAGCATCCTAAAAAAGGTGTCACAGTTTCCACAAAAATATTAAGCACAACCATTTTAAACATTAATAATAAGAAGAAATGTTTCTTGAGCTTTGAATCAGCATATTAGAATGATTTCTGTGAAGTAATTTTCCATAACAGGACTAAATTACATTTTAAAATGTATTAAATTGGAAAACAAATTGTATACTATTTTAATAAATACTATTTTACAATATTACTGCTTTTTATGAAATAAATGCAACCTTGGTGAGCATAGACTGAAAGTGAAAGAGAGGAAGTCCAACCACATACTTATAAATCTACAGAGAGAATGAGGTTTATTATGAGCCATAAATAACTTGGATGTTTCAGAGCTATTCTTATGATAAGCAGCAACATTCCTAATCTCACATCATTGGAGATTTTTCATTGGTCTTAATGAAGTGTCAGGCAACATCCCCCTCAAAAATAGCAGTGAAGCCAAAACATCACATCGTAGAATGCACTGCGTTGTTAACATCGTTCAGATTGTGATATCTGTGATATCTCAGAAGACCGCAGGGAGGAAGTGTCCTTTTCATTACACCCTTTCCCTTTATGTTCTGACAGGTCTGCGCTTCCCCAGTTCTCACTCTGACTGAGTTAGCATTTATATTGCTCCCTGGCAAGTAGAAAACAAGTGTTTTCACCTCTTTGTGAATTGTTTTGCTCTTTTAAGCATCTGTGCCTTGAATAATTCATAAACAAGGCTACAAAAAGAATGGAAGTACAAATACTGCCTAAAATTGATATACCAGTTTAGTTATGCAATTAGGTCTCTAGAGAGACAAAATAAAGTAAAATAGGCATCTTTTGAATCCCACTGCTGATGAGAGATCCATAAGCATAGAGTATACTCTTAAAAATAAAGGTGCTTGACGATGCCATAGAAGAACCTTTTTGCCTGAATGGTTCCATAAAGAACCTTTAACATCTTCAAATTATAAAAAGGTAAGAAAGAGATGGTTCTTTAAAGAATCTTTGACTGAATGGTTCTTTGTGAAACCAAAAATGGTTCTTCTATGGCATTGCTGCGAAGAACCTTTTAAGCGCCTTTATTTTTAAGTGTACAGCCAGGAAATTTAGTTTGAATATCTGATCTCTCATTGTCATTAACATCAAACCAACTGACAA